TCTCTCTCTCTCTGTCTCTAATGAATAAATAAATAAAATCTAGAAAAATAAAAAAATAAAAAAAAATTAAATTAAAATGAGGAAACAAGAAACACATTTCCTTTGATCCCATATTCCCTCCAGCTACTTCTTTCAGCATCCCCTTTACAGTAAAACTCCTTAAAAGAAGTGTCTGTTATGTAGGCTCTGCGTCCTTATTTCCTGTTCTCCCTTTAACTGGTTCCAATCCGAAGGCAGTTGTCCTGTCCACACTGCTTTACTGGAAGCGTCTTCATCTTAAAAAATCTACTGGGCAGTTTTGTTTGTATATGATTCCCCACCCCCCTCCACAGCAGCTGACATCCCCTCCTTCTTGAAACACCATTTCACTTGGCTTTTGGGTCCTCCTGCCTTGCTGGCTCCTCCTCCTCAGTCTTCCTTGCTGGCTCTGTCCTCTTTTATAGATGTCCTCTCTGCCTGCTTCTGTTCCTTTTTCATTAGCCACCCCTTCTGCCGATACCAGTCTCCTGACTATAAATATTGCCTGTATGCTGAGGATTCCCAAATATGTATCCTAGTCCCAGACTCTCCCCTGAGCTCTACACTCATATATCCAGTCATCTTTTAAACATCTCTTAATCATCTCTTGCATGCCCAATAGACAAGTCCAAGAGGATTTTGATTTCTCAACTCTTCTGTCACCTCCAAAGCCATTTTCCACCCAGGCTTCTCTGTCTTGGGTATTGGCATTCCTATTCACTCGTTACTCAGGCCAAAGAGATTCTATGCCCCTCCTCCTCCCCCCCCCACCCCGACTTCTAATCTGTCAACAAGCCCCATTGGCTTCTTTCTAAAATATATTCTGTATCCAACTACTTCTCCCCACCTTCCTCTTCCCTACAAAGCAGCCTTATCCAAGCCAGCCACCTCTCGTTTGGACTCCTGCGGTAGCTTTCTTACTGGTCTTTCTGCTTTCGTGGGTGCCTGTCCATCTCCCGCCCCCTCCCCCCAAATTACGGTGAAGACCATAACTTTAAAAAGACCACTCAAGCGTCAGAGTGATTTTTTTAAAAATGTGTAGGAGAACATGTCATCCCCAGCTGAAAATTGTCCAGTGAGTTTGTATTAACATTAGAATAGAACCCAGCTTCCTGACCCCCACCTTCCTCACTGACTTCATCTCCTCTACTCTCCCCCTTTCTCACTAAGCATCTGCTGCCTCCCTGCCCTCCTCAGACGGGTCAAACCTGTTCGTGCATCCAGGCCTTTCCATCTACTGTTTGCTCTTCCTGGGGCACTCTGTGCATGTGGCTTCTTTGTAATCATCCGGGTCTCTGCTCAGATGTCATTACCTTAGAGGAGCTCTCCCTCCCGTCCTTGCACAAATAATCTCCATCTCCACCCCATCCCTCTCTAGCCATGTGTGCTGTGTGAATTTCGTCACAGAACTTGTTGTCAGAACTTGCAGCACTTTTTAATGTACTTGTTTATTTTCTTTCTCCCCTCCTAAAATATCTCCTCAAAGGCAGAGACGTAAAGACAGTGCTGCCACATAGCACAAGCCTTGAGGGGCCCCCGGGTGTTATTGGTGTTGAGGGGATGCCTGGTTAGTGAAGAAAGACTTTCAGACGAAAGGACTTCACCACCTTTTGGGCTGGAAAGAGAAGTAATGTTCGATTGGGCATTCCTTCCTGTGGTGACTTCTTCAAATGAAAAGCTGTTTAGTTTCCTGCTCTTCGGTCCTTGTTGTGTTTTGGATGGTTTGCATTGCTGATTCAAATTAGTATATCATGTTTTTTGAGTTGGGGAGGATACATATTTGGGAATCCTCAGCATACAGGCAATATTTATAGTCAGGAGACTGGTATCGGCAGAAGGGGTGGCTAATGAAAAAGGAACAGAAGCAGGCAGAGAGGACATCTATAAAAGAGGACAGAGCCAGCAAGGAAGACTGAGCAGGAGGAGCCAGCAAGGCAGGAGGACCCAAAAGCCAAGCGAAATGGTGTTTCAAGAAGGAGGGGATGTCAGCTGCTGTGGAGGGGGGTGGGGAATCAGATACAAACAAAACTGCCCAGTAGATTTTTTAAGATGAAGTGTCTTCCTGAGGAGACACTTACTTCTACCTTGTTTTGTAGCCTCCATAGAGCCCCAGTAGCTCAAGCGCCCTGTGCTCATGGCCACCAGGGGACACTGTGGAGCTGTTTAAATCCATTGAGACCCTTCGCTAAGCTCGGAAACAATGGCTGCATGTTTTCCAACTCTACCCTACTGTAAAGAACTTGAAATTTTATTTATTTATTTATTTATTAAAGATTTTATTTATTTATTTATTTGACAGAGACACAGCGAGAGAGGGAACACAAGCGGGGAGGGGGGGAGGGAGAAGCAGGCCTCCCTCTGAGCAGGGAGCCCGACGCGGGGCTCAATCCCAGGACCCTGAGGTCATGACCTGAGCCGAAGGCAGACGCTTAATGACTGAGCCACCCAGGTGCCCCAAGAATTTGAAATTTTTAAAAAAGTGTGTGAAAATTAAAGTTGTTACGATCTTCTAAAGGGGTAAAAACCAACCAAACAAACAAAAAGCCACCCAAGCCCTCTTTTTCATAAAAGGGGAGAAAAGAGAGCCTTTCATGTTGATATGAAGAGAGGTATGCCTGATTGCCTAAGATGTGGCTTTGTTTCAGTAAAATCATGAACTTTTGAATTTTACCAGAAATGTGAGGCAAGGGATTTGGGTCTGGAAAACGCAGCAGCTGATTTCCCAGAAGAAAAGTGAGTGGAATTTCCCTCCCGCATGTCTTACATTAAACTAAATCTTACTGATGGGAACAGGATGAAGACAAGTGCTTTAAATATGTTGCTGACCTCAGAGGAGGGCACAAGTTCTAGGCATGTTGAAGGACAGAGGCAAGTGTCCCAGTGAGAATGGGAGAGCGAGGGTGAGACCAGATCCTCTCGCGGAGTCTCTGCCTAGGGGCTGACAAGCTTCCTCAGGTAGAGCCCAGGGAGCTGAATTCTTCAGAAGAGCTCCACCATTTATACTCCCTTCAGGACAGGGTGAAGAGCAAACTTCCATCCTCCGTGTAGATCCAGAGTCAGAAGGGCTTTCACACGTCGGCTATGCTATTTTTTAGCTAAGTCAGAAAGCTGTCAGCAAAACTATCTTCCCGTAGGGAGCGAGAGAAAGCCAGGGAGGGGAAAGTGGGGGGAGAGAGAGACACACACACACACAGCAAATATGCACGGAAATGTCCAGCTAAACCGCTGGCACCCAACACTGTGATCATTTGAGGTTGAATATTTATTATAGAATCAAGAATGCCGGGGGCGCCTGGTGGCTCAGTCGGTTAAGCGTCTGCCTTCAGCTTAGGTCATGATCCCAGGGTCCTGGGATTGAGCCCCACGTCGTGCTCTCTGCTCAGTGGGGAACCTGCTTCTCCCTCTACCTCTGCCCCTCTGCTTGTGCTCTCTCTTTCAAATAAATAAATAAAATTAAAAAAAAAAAAAAGAATCAAGAATGCTGGAGGAGAAGAGGGAAGAAAAATGTCAAGGAAACCATTCCTTCCCAAGTTTGCCTTCAGTACCAAGCCTGGCAACTTATATGGGGAATTTCCCATCTCTGCCTGCATTCATGAGAAGAAAAAGAGAATGTACTTTTTCAGATGTTCAGCAAAGCAATTGAAAACACACATGTGTGTCCCAAGCATTATCAGACTGCCCCCTTCATGGAGGGTAGGTCCAGTGGAGGGAGCTTCAATTCTGCCTGCAGAACTAGGAGCCACAGCCCCTGCCTCCTCTCCGTGACTATTGGGTGCCCCCAGGAAGGACTGTGCGGGACCAAGTCTGCTGAGTTCTTCTGCAGGAGGAGTTCTTCCGTGGTTGGCGACCCACGGACCATCCAAAGCTGGTGCACCCCTGTGTCCTCTGAGAACCCTATCTCCTTAGGCTGTTCTAGGGTACCACATGTATTCCTGCTGGGCCCCCTGGTTCCCAGGGGCTGAAGCTGCAGGAGAGGTCGGGAGAGGGACTGGCCTTCACCCCGCTGTTTCCCTCTTGTCCGGACTCTCTCAAAATCTTTCATGGACACAGGTGTTT